AAAAATTGGTTTTTTAAAAATTAAAAAGTTTTTTTAAAATTTAAGAAAAAAAAAAAATTAAAAAAAAAAAATTGGTTGTAGCCAAAAATTTTAAAAAAAAAGCCAAAAAATTTTTTGGTTTAAAACAAAATTTTTTAACAAAAAAAAACCCAAAAAAAAAAAAAAAAAAATGGTTTTCAAATAATTGTTTGAAGTTTTTTAAGCAAACCCAACAACAAGGATTTTGGAAAAATTTATTAAAAAACCAATTTAAAGTTTGTTAAAACAAAAATTTAAAAATGTTTGGGGAAAAGCTAAATTCAAATTACAGCCCCCGATTTTTGCCTTTTATAAACCCTATATCACAAAAAGTTTTGTTAACCCAAATTTTTCAGCAATTTTTAAATTTTTTTTTGCAAAAATTAAATAAAAGTTTTAAAATTTTAAAAAGGGGAAAAAAACTTTTTCCCCAACCCAAATTCCCTTTGGGTACCCCGAAAAAATTAAAAATTTATTCCCCCTTTTTTTAAAAAAATAAAATTCCAAAATTTAATTAAAAACCCCCCAAAATACCCTTTTATTATTTTTTAAAATTTTGTTTTTAAAATTAGAATTTTAAAAAAATTAAAAATTTTAAAAAAAACAAATTTTAAGAAATTTTTACCGCAAAAAATTTTCAAAGAAAAAAGTTAAAAAAATTTTTTCAATTTTCCCAAAAAACACAAAAAAATTGGTTTATAAAAAAAATTAAAGAACATAAAAATTTTTAAAATGTAAAACCCTTTAATTACCCCAAGGCAAAAATTTCGCCTTTCCTTTTTCCAAAACAGCCAGGGTTTTTACAAAATTTTTTTAAAACATTTTAAGGGGTTAAAAAATACATGTTTTTGGGCCTGGCTTTTGGGTTTCTTTTTTTTTCCCTTGCCTTGAAAAAATTTTTTAAAAGGCCCCTAACAACAAAAATTTTTTTTCCCAAACCTTTTTCCGGAATTTCCCGTTTAAACTAAAATTAAAAATTCCAAATTTTTTGTCTGAAAAGGCAATTGGGCCGTCTCTTTTAAAAAGGATTTTTTTTTTTTCACCAAATTTAAAGTGGTATTTGGGGGTTTCATTTTAAGGGGTTTTGAGTTTCTTTTTTTACCCTTTTAACAGGGTTTTAAGGCCCCCTTACCAAAATTGGCACTATGAGATAATTAATTGACCATTTTCAACTGGTCTTTGAATTATCTGAGCTAACGCACTGATTATTTACTTGAGACACTGGCTGTTCAGTAATGTTCTGAGAACTGCTCTTTTTTTCCTTTCTTCCTTTGAGCTTGCCTGGTTTCTTTTCTTTTGGTTTCTTTTTAACATAACAATTGCTTTTCAACTTCTGGGTATCTGCTATCTTGAAGTTGAAATTATTGTCACACCCTCCATTACTGTCTGCTATATGAGACATTTCTATAGTCTGCAAGCTTCCATTTGACCTTGATTGATCATGTGACATGTTACCAGGGGATGCTGGGAAGTTCAAATGTTTCACTGGTTCCTGTTGTGCAGAATGACTTTGCTGTTGAACACTGGTACTAGTATTCCAATTGTGCATAAAGAAATTTGAATTTGAGGACAAGAAATGAGGATTATTTTCTTTGTTGGCATGAACATTTCCCTGATTTTGATAATGCCCTGTGAAAGGCAGAATACCAAACTGATGTTGAATATTCTGTTGTGCTAGAAAGTTTGCTGCATATCCCCCGTTAAAGCTAACATTGTTTGGCTGAGACACATTACCCTGTAGGCAAACACTTTGTTGCTGATTCGGCACATTTTTTTTGAAACTTTCCTCATTAAAAATTTACCCCCTTTTTTTCTTGGGAAGAAGTAGGTCCTCATTTTTTAATTACCCTTTTCCCTTTATGATAAAAGATTATCTGGGTGGGAAAATTTTTTACCATGAAACTGCCCAAATTTTACAATTTATTCTGTTGACAGTTTACCAAAAACCCTTTTACCTGTTTTTTAAAAACCCGGGGTAGAAAAATTTTCCCCGACCTAAATGCGAAAAGTATGGACTTTGTCTGTTGATACTGGGTGTATGTCTGGTCAGTATAACTATTCCTACTGGGACTGTTTTCTGTAAATGATGAGACAGGACTATACATGTTTGCTGTTAATACCTGATTTAACAAGTTATGAGACTGTGCTTGTTTCTTTGATTTTGTTGTCTTTGCAGCTCTCGGCTTTTTTGTTTGACTTTGCTTTTTTGCACTGCTTTTAGCTTTAGAACACTTAGGATTTGTCTTTTTCTGACTAGATTGTATGTCATCACCAACTTTTGACTTTGTTTCTGATGAATCATTAAATTCTGATGAACAGTCATAGCTTACAGAACCATTCTTTTGTTGGTGACCTTGGCTTGCCATTCGTTGGTGACCTTGACTTGCCATCTGTTGATGACCTCGACTTGCCTGCATGCTATTGTTAAAAGCTGGATTCAGTTGGTCATTATTTGGCTGACTATCTGATGTCTTATTATGCACACTTGATCCGATTTTGTTTACACTATCTGCAAAAGAACAATCTGAGTTCCTTCTACTTATTTATAGGAACAGTACTACTTTCAGTTTTTGGGGAACACATCAATGTCGCAGCATTAAAAAAAATGTGATGACAAAAAAGGGAAAAAAACCCCGTTTCTTTTTTCCTCTGGGTGTCAAAAATTTTAAAATGAGGCCAGTTTTTTAGCATTACCCTTCGAATCCGAGAGGGTTTTATCCAAAAATTAAAACTTTTGTTTTCTTTTTTCATTTTTAATATCTTTTTTCCGAATGTGAATTTTAAAACCCGCATAAGAAATTTTCCTCCCCCACTAGCCCCATATTCAAATTTTCTTTTAAAGTTTCAGTCGAGATACTTTTCCCGAGGGCTGACCCAAAAATAACTTCCCTCATCAATGTCTGCCTTGTTTACTGGCCTACCTTTTTTCACTCAAGGGTTTCAGTTTTATTTTTTATTGGGTCCCGCTCCTTTTTTATCAACCTACATGAAAAACCTGCTTCCCAAAAAAATTAGCTTCAAATCCGTTGTCTAGAATTGTCATCAGCATTTTGTGCTACAACAAAGTCTTGTCTTTGAATCCAATCAGCAACTTTAGAACTTTCACCTGTTTCCTTGATTTCATTTAAACTACAGTCATTCAAGCTTGCAGCATCACCACTGTTAGCCTTGTCAATGTCTTTACTGTTTTCCAAATGGGATGTTTCCAAAACGTTACAGCTGGTATTAACTAAGGTAGCATTTAGATTTCCAGGTGATTGAACTGACCTAATACTACCAGTATCATCATTCGGTAACAACCAATTCCTGATTGTCGATCCTGAATTTGTCTGACACTCATAAATTTTTGACTTCAAATTATTCATCAAGTTCTTATCTGGAGTCACAGTAGCTCCATCTTTTATGATATTATTTCTTAAATTAAACATTGGAATATCATAGCTAGATTGTAAATTTTGATCAGGAACATGCTTTGTTTCAAGTTGTGGCTTGTCTTGGAGTGATTCTTCAGTGATGTTACTATATTCTGGAAGAGGAATACTGGCTACAGCTGGAGGCTTTTGGACTTTGTTCTCACTTAAGAATGTTTCAGAGAACATACTACCATCTTCAGAATCATAAGTTTGTAAAACAGGCATCAGGTCAAGTTCCACTTCCATCTTATCTGAATCGACTTCGACTTGAAGAACAGGCATTTCATTATCATCACAACTTATGTCATCTATAAGGTGCTCTAGAACATTGCCATTACCTGCAACACTGTGCCATGATACTTATACCACTACCAGGGACATTTTCCTTACTATCTGTCACTTCACTTAATTTATCCAAAGCCCATGAAGAATTCCCACTACATTCTACATTTGAACTGTAATCATCAAACAATCTCTTTCCGCTCCCTTGATCTTCCCTTTCACAACTCTTCTTGGAATGCTGGCTGTTTAAAAATGACAAAACATTATTCACACCATTGTCACCAAACGATGAAGAGGAGAAGTACATCATAGGTATATTTTGGAGCCTTGTTGGATTCAATTCAGAGGCTTGCTTTGACTTTTCTTCAGCTACATCATAAGGCATGGCTTCCCTATTTGAGTTACAACTACCGAGAGCAACATTTCTATGACTGGAACCAGATAAACTGTGAAGAGAACTGACATTTGCCGATATCTCAGAATTACCGAGTGCAACATTTCTATGACTGGAACCAGATAAACTGTGAAGAGAACTGACATTTGCCGATATCTCAGAATTTAAATGTTTTGTTATTATACATGAAGTTTTGACATTGGATCCTGAATTCTTACATCATCATCATCACCAGATGAGAAATAGTCCTCATTATCCTGTCACACTTTGAATTACGTCATTAATAGAGAATTTTCTTCCTATTCTTTGTGATGAACGCCTACTAAAGCTGTTTTCACTTTTTTAATTCACTATTGTTACTTTTAAACTCATTCAAAGATTTCTTTTTAAATATATCTATTGGCTGCAAGGGGATACTTTTCCCAACTGTTTCCAAAGGTTGGGAATGTGGAGATATCTAAAGGATCCTGGGTTATGTTTCTTTTTGATATTGGCTCAGTTTTTGATGCATGCCTACACATTTTATTTTATTTTCAGAATCTTGACTTTTATCACCATTACCTAGTAAACTCTCTTGGCCTACATAGCCTTGTTTGTCATTAGAATCTAGATTAAGTTCACTGCCTGCCACATGTTCATAATGAGAATCAAATTCAGGAAATGTGCTGAAGTTTGGGATTTTTGAGGAAATTTCTCGGCTATCTTTACATCCATTCAGCCCATATTTCCCAACAAAGTTTTGTAGATTTGGTAAATGAGAAGACGTATGATTTAAGGTCTTGAAATTCTCAGCAATTGAGACAAATTCCTTATGTTTTCACTATTCAAATGTTCTCTTAGACTACCATTTGTACCAATGGTCACATGATTCACAGTAGCCTCCCCTGAGTACTCCTCCAGCCGATTTCTTTTTTGACTGGTTATTACTTTCTTTTGGTTTAGTCAATACTACACCAGCATCAAATGGAGATCCAGTCTCATTGTAAAAATATCTTTGGAAATGTTTCAAACTGTTTAAAAAAGAGGTCTATACAAACCATCTTCATCTTCTACTTTAATTACAGGACCGTTTTCTTTTTCAGAATCCCAAGTTATTGGGGACATGCCACTCATGGAGGTATCCATTCTACTAGTTTCTGCTTTGAGCTTCTGCAGATGTTTTGCGCTGTCCCGCAGGAATGCAACTGGTGTTTCAATCCGCAGACCAAGTTTGGCAGCACTCTGTAGTAATCCATTGCTGTTATTGTTGGCATCACAATTATGATTCGCTGATGCTTTGAGCAATAAAGCTTGTCCTGAAATTTAAAATACAAAATTGAAACAAATCATGTATTACAATTGTAGCTATTTTCATCCCCGTTCTTTTTCCATCACAGCAATATATAACATATAAAATATTTAATCCATCGATAGATAATTTACAAGACAATTACGCTACACTTATGAACCTTGTCACATAAGAAAATGATATGACTGACATGCAGAGCTAGCAAAATCAATTGTGCATATTGCCCAGGTTGTCCCAAAGCATATACAGACAAGTAATATTTATCTAGAATTCACTTTATAAATATACGGACAGGTAAAGATAAAATGGACATTGTCAAAATCAGATTTACATCGGCCTTGAATGTGAGTGAAAATATTTAAAGTTTGTAGAAAATCACTCAAGTAATAAAGAAAATATATAGTAAATGAAAACAAATATTATCAAAATTGCAATTTCAAAAGGGTGATTATTCTCTTCTTACAATTATTTCAAACATTTATGATAATACTATAACAGTCAACGAATTTAAGATTTTGAATTTACTGGCCAGAATTCAAGTTTTCAATTTATTCTACTATATATTATTTAACTAAATTTTCTTAAAATTTACACTTGCCCGAACTAATTTTCGCTGGCCATGGGCCACCTGGTGCTAAATTCGCTGACTGCTTTATTAAATATTGTCAATATATTTATGCTAACCAATCAACGAAGATGATAAATATAGATTATGCATATTTCATTAATTGCGTAACATATTACCCAATATACTGGATGTACATTTGCTGATAATGCATTATTACACACCAATTTCTGAAGAACTGAAACTTGCTTTGTACAAAAAAAACACACAGTCATTTTGAATTCAAATCCCTGTTGGGCTTACGATTTTTGGAATTTTGCAGGTACGCATTGGATTTTACACACCTCAGGCATCAGATGTGTGCCATATTTTGCAAACTTTATCACATTTTCTATTATCAATACATGTACATGTAAATAAAACGTTTTCACACACTTCATTATGTTTAATTTTTGCAATGAAATATCAATCTGCCCTTAACATATGATTTGGCCATTCTTGAAGAGAAAATATTTTTTGAGTATTACTGAATTAATGTAAACTTTTTATTTGAAATTTTATATAAAACATCTCAAATAAACAAGACCTGCCTGTAAGACAGTGCGCTCAACTATTATAAGTACATGTACTTAAATTTTGCATTACTCCCTTATTACCAGACTCATCCTGGAGGGAAATTTTAGAAAGAAGTGACTTCTTTGCAAAAATTAGGGAAAAGGAAGTCCATCCTATGGGTGCATTGCATTCAGCATCTATGGCTGTACATCTTTCAACTATATATTAATAATGACATTCAATACACTGTTGATTTTCCAACAGTTTATTAGTAAATGTTATTACTATATGTCTGTTTAAAAAAAATTAATATCAAATAGACTTAGAAATTGCACTGATGATCTTATCTTCTAAGATAATTGAGCTGATCAATGGAGTAGCTACAGCTACAACAATGTGAGTTTGGCTTTTTTCTGAAGAGTGAAATAGTCAAGAGTTTGATACTCAGATTACCAGCTTCATCACCAACATGTACTGTAGGGCATTTAAGAGCATGTAACTTGAATATATATATGAATATTCTGAATATATGATAATGATCTATTTATAAGCATTACTTATACTTTCGTATACAGGTTTAAGCTTAGTATACAGCGACACTCTGATTGGCTAATAATAATTAGTAGTCTGCATATGGGTCAGTTGGACACCGACTTTCTACATCAGATCGCTGAGTAAACATTAATTAGGACTTTATTTTTTTGATATCAAAGGATTTGGCAAATTTCACTTCTCTGATATCTCAGGAGAGCTAAATTAGATTTTACACAGTTACACTGCGAAGTTTTCGCCCGAATCCCCCTCTCTGATTATCCCTGCTTAATTTATTGCTGCTAGTCTATGATAATCAAGTGAGCTACAGAACATCAGCCAAGATTGTATAGCCTTTAAGTATGGCAGTATGGAATCCGGGTCAACTCGGCCCTATACCAACTTGGGACGGGTCAATTCGGCCAATAATTATATATTACTGGTAATGATCACTTTTATTACTTTTATATATTTTCATCATAACCTTCATTGTTTAAAATTGTCACGGTAATAGACCTCTACTGAAGGATTTAAGTTTTATTGATGAAAGTACAAACTTATATGTGAATTTGTAAAAAAAGGAAGAATTTACAATTTATATGCAAGTCTTTACCTACTTTTGATGTTGTTTTTTTTGGAAAAAATATCGTTCAAACAGCATAAATTTTGTCGTATTAAAGAAAAAACGGTGTTAAATACAATTACATTTATTGTCAATAAATTCAATCTTAAAACTTTATTTATGGATCAATAGTTAACATATTGTCTTGATATCACTTCTTAACAATGATAATTTCAAACAATACACTGCCGACTTTTCAATTTCTGTTTGTTAATGATCGTACCCCTGAACACTTTTAGCAATTTACTCCTTAAAAAGTTTATTTACTAAACAAGCTATGTTTATAGGTTTTAAATAGAGGGCAGATTTGACTCATGCTGAGTTGGTATAGGGCCAAATTGACCCTTTACATGATGTTGGCCTGTCATGAATTGCCCTTCAAAAATAGGGAGGTCAGTACACTTAGCACATGTGTGAAATGTTGTGTTGGGCAAGGTTAGACAATTTGCAGATAACACAATAGTATATCTAACAATTAAATCAACCCAAGATGCCCAAACCCTCCAAAAAAATCTCAACAGTCTTGAAAACTGGGAATCTGATTGGTCCGACTCCATGGAATTTAATCCAGATAAATGTGAAGTCCTTAGTATCAACCGCAAGAAACATCCAGTAGCATTCTCTTATAATTTACATGGTCAAAACTAAAATCCACTGAGGCTGCACAATATTTAGGTGTAACAATTAGTAAAAGATCAATCTTGGACCAATCATATGAATAACATAACAGCAAAAGCAAATATCTCACTCAGATTTATAAAAAGAAATGTCAAAACTTCCAACAAAGAGGTCAAAGAAACTGCCTACAAAACTTAAATGTAAGGCCCCAGTTAGAATACTGTTCCACGGTTTGGCATTCATGGCAGAAATGTCTGGTTTACAAAATAGAACAAGTTTGAAGGTCAGCTGCCAGATCTGTAAACAATGACCACAATTACACCAGTAGTGTATCTAAAATGTTAAGTGATCTTAATTGGCAAACTCTAGAGCAGAGGCGCAACATCAGATACAGTTTCCCTACTCTACAAAATCCAATACAATCTTGTGAGGGTCGACCATCACCATCTGACACCCAGGCCACTAGAAACCTGAACTATCTAATAGTCTAACACCATACTCAAGGACTCAATCTCACTAACTCATTTTTCCCCAGAAGTATTTGCCTGTGGAATGGCCTACCTGTGTTACAAGCTAGTCCCAGTTAAGATCTCTTTACTGGGCAGCTGCATGCTTTCTACCAGTTTTAAGTGAGTTTTTTGCTTTTATCTTTTTATCTCACTCTCAGTCTTGTAGTCTTCTTTTAACATGCTTTATATCTTATACCTAAGTATAAATTTGCACTTAACACATTAGTTCTGGCTTCCAAAACTTTATAAGCCACTTTTTAACATTTTTGTTTTTCATCAGATGCAGCATTAAAGTTTTGGATTAGACCCGTTACGAAACCTAACCAGAATAACATAAGTTGATTTATTCTTGTTTTCACTTGCAAATACACTTGACCCGATCAATTCTTGTGCATTTTACGGTAAAACAATTATTTAAATATCGTTCTATACCAATTCATGTAATAAAATATTAATACCGTCATTAAAATTGCCTATTTAACTGTAAAACATCAATTTTCGCCGACTACAGTCGGCCATGACATTCAAGTGCCACGCGAGAACTTGTATGACGTCATTCGCGGGAACAGATTTGAATAGAGTTGTGTACTATATTTAGAACATTTTGTTGACATGATTTCGATATTTTTATTCAAGATAATGTTTTTATTATTTTCATAAATTTTTTAGTATTTAAATATGATTTTATTGAATATAACAGTCAGTAAATAACCTTTTTCAACATCTTAAAAAAAAGTAATCTATAAAAATATTGGAGGCACATGGGTTCATAAAGGTCAATCTCGTAATCACGTGGTCAAACATTTTGGCAATATGGCGGCCAAGTGCCGAAATTTTTACCTGTCGGAAACTATTAGGTAGTTTATGTTCCTAATAAGATTTTTATTTGTCCATCCTTGGCTTATCAACAGATTATATATCGTTTTATCAAGGTATGCTTCACTTTACTTTGTGGCATGTTCGATTAATAAATACGAGCGTGTCAGATTCCTGGCACGATTATTGGTGGACTTTCCCTACGGGGTTATCTTCAGCGTTCACGTCATGTCATATATATAAACGGGTACGCTGAAGACCGTAAGCTATTAACACATTTGTTTTTAACAGCTATTCGCAGACAATGCGCCTGCTTAGTGTAATCGTTAACAATTTTGAAGAGCTCAGTATAATGTAATGTAGGTAGATGTAAATGTATCTGTTTACATTGTTGCATAAATGCCCTTTTACTAGTTTTAGTAACAAAAAATTGTTTTTAAAAAGTAGTTAATGCTTCACAGTAGTAGAAAAAAAATGCTTTAAATAACATTTCACACAAGTTGTGGAAACATGTACAGAAATGTGGCGAATGCAATGAACACATCGGAACTTCCAAAGGAAGTCATTGTTGTGTTTTTTTGTCCGCAGTATTTGGTAGATTAACCATAGATTACCAATAGAAACCGGAAATTGGGCCCGAATACCAATCAATCAAAGAACATGTACTTCTTGTAACAATAAAATAGGCGACGAATTTCATTACTTATTTGAATGTGTTTTGCTTAATGATGAAAGAAAGAAATTTTTAAAACCTTATTATTATAGACGTGCAAATACATTCAAACTAGATCAACTAATTAATACAGAAAACAAGAGCAAATATTTGAAATTATGTAAATTTGTTAAAACAATAATTTTAAGATAATTAAAATTAGAATTTACCTCATATGTGATTACTTACATTCCAAGAATTACTTACATTCCAAGACTATTACACGAATATTTCACAGATAAATCTTTTATTACCCATTGTAAAGTGTTTGTTTGTTATAATATTTGTCTAAATAGTATGACACTTTTTTCATTTAGCTTATAAGTATGAGTCTAGAAATGTCATTGTAAAGGTTTAAAATATTATGTCGTACATAATTGTACATCACTTGTCAGTTGTTTATATTATTATTTCTTTTCCCTTTTCCTTTTTTGTAACTATTCTCATCGTTTGTCGATAAATAAAAAGAAAGGTAATATGAAACGAAATTATACCCTTAGAGAGTGTCCAAATTACGTGACTCTCCACGGTTTTTTTGTGGTAACATATTACTAAGAACTTTAACAATTTGTGGTTTTGATACATTGTTAATTGAACGTACTGCAGTTCAGCAAATGATATGAATAAATACTCTTTCTACGAATTATTTTACCACTCAAATTATATAATTATACATTGTACATTTGTTTAAAGAGCCTCTACTAACATTGTATTTATTACTAACCACATTTATTCATGTTAACATGAAATGTGTGTAATAAAGGAAATTTGACTTGACTTGACTTGGTAATAAATATACAAACCTCTACTCAACGGAACATTTTTGGTTGTCTGTTTCTGTGAATAATCATCTTTAGAATGTTTTGTTGAACTTTTATCAGTTATCAATAATGTCAAATCTTTTGAAAGAAAATCTTCAATTTGTCCTCCTAGATTTTGAATACGTTGAGATATTTTTGATTTCGCTGAGGCTGATTTAACATCAAGGTAAAATGTTTTTCCAGCATACGGTCGCTCTTCAAAAGATAAACTTCTTCGTGCACGCAATCCAGAGGACTTTGGCTTCATTATATACTACAAACATAAGAGATAGTTTACTTGTAGAAAACAAATGTTTTCTTTCCGCAGCAATATAAACAATTTTTTTAGTTCTATACAACGATCTTCAGGAAATAATTATTATTCATCAAATTTCTTTCTTGAATAGGCCGCCGCTGTAAGCTTCTAGTGATCTTGAAGAAAAGGACAAAACCCTTGGCGAATACAAAATAATATCGGGCACAGTCTAAAACGCGGACTCCTCTTTAGCGGACGCGACAATTAAAAAGGAAAAAAGTGGACGGTTAGAATGACAGGTGAGATAATAAATGTTTAAAAATAATATATATTTATACGTTAACGGATGGCAAGCGGGCGTTGAAAAAGTTATAAAAAGTTGTGTATTAATTGGATTTGTTCATTCATACATGGAGCTATATATCTGTGATTCATATTTCATAAATTAAGTTATATTTAATTGTAATTTGGAATAATAATAAAAAATTATTTAATTTCATTTCATTGTCCTTCTATTATGTTTAGTGATACCTTGTATAAACATGTATTATAAGTATATAGACAGAAAAAAATCTTTCAAATATAACAACTCTTTACATGAATTTCGTTTCAAAATTACTTGTACATGTAGTAATACGTAATAATAATATAATTTTAAACATATACATGTATATAGATCCTGTCGTACCACTTTTTCCTAAATAATTAAAATCTTTACGTTAATTCATGTTTAAAAAACCACGAGTATGATTCAATACATTTTTTTAATGCTATTTTTTAATTTTAGGTCCAGTTTGCTAAAATTGAATTAACTTGGTAATTGTTAATTTAGTGAAAAAAAAATGAAAAATAAAGTCACAGAAAAAGTAATTTATTTCATTAGGGGCATGATTGTACAAATGACGAACAATAAAAGCATACGCATTCATAGAAACTTCAGCTTTTGGAGTAATTAGAACAAAAATATTTTGCTAACATAAAATTATTAAAGCTATATTTTAATAATAAAATGTCTCTAAAGATGCAATGAATACGTGCCGTAAATTATCTAAAGACATTACGAATAAGTGTGAACAACTTTGCTAACCTGATTAAATATGTCAAGTCTTCGGATAGAAAAAAAACCCCGCATTTTGGGAACAATTTAAACATTGGAGGAAAACACTGACGATTTACAAAACTCAGCTGACATACATATTTAAAATAATTCAGTGAATTACTGAATTCAAAATTAATAGGTCACAATTTTGCAAATTATAACCTTGAAGGAGATGAATGGTGACATGTCCGGGGTCCAAACTCGATCTCAGTTCTTAAAGAGTGGATGGACCCCCATGAAGCCTATCTAGAGTATACATGCTGACGACATAGATCTCTATACATGAAAAGTGCGGATATTATGAAAATTGTACATTTATGCATTATAAATTTGGTTTGAATATTATATTTTCTTCATATTCTATATTCAATATATCTGTATATTTAGTTTTTAAGTGTAAAGAAAATAAATTCAAAATTTAGAGTATCGAAAAAAGTGAACACAGCAATTAAGCGTAATCAACATGCTACTTAATTTCGTATTTTGTGGACAATATAAGGAAGCATTGACAATATAGATATAGAGAAAAAAGCAGACGATATACATAGTGTAGATCGAATGCATGATGTCCAGACAATTGGGCGGGAGATGATCTTTAATGACGGTGCATTATTTTTCATTGAAATTAGTATATTGTCAGTGCTTTTCCTACTGTGTTCATTCATTCATTCATTCATTCATTCATTCATTCATTCATTCATTCATTCATTCATTCATTCATTCATTCATTCATTCATTCATTCATTCATTCATTCATTCATTCATTCATTCATTCATTCATTCATTCATTCATTCATTCATTCATTCATTCATTCATTCATTCATTCATTCATTCATTCATTCAAATATACCCTCAAAGTATATTCTGTGTGCAAGATACATTGTAGATGTAGGGCATGGTCCTAATACTCGTATATATACATTGCCCTATTCCCATATAAATGATACATTAATCTATAAAATGTTACGTAAATACCTGCTATAGTTTTTCAGTTATACTTAAGTATGATTAATTGAAAAGGGCAGTGCACTTCTCAACGTGATATAACCACAGTATATGACCACATGGTTTACAGACACTTCACCCCCAGGCACTTCACCCTAGGCCCTTTTTTGCAGACACTTCACCCCTCAGACAGTTCACCCTCATTTTAAGAAATTTGATTGAGACACTTCACCCCCCTCCCCCATTTTTTATTTTGTGTTAAACAATTATTTATGTAGAAAATGTTAAATGTATTCAATAGTGATCGAGTATGTTTATTGTTTTAAAATATTTTATTTTTTTATCATGTAACTGACAAAAGACAATGAATATATTGTTGTTTTGCTCTACACTCATATCACAAAGTTATTAGTAAGTAAATTCTTTATTTTTTTATTCCATTTTTATATATTATATACTAATTTCTTGCGAAAGTGATATAACAAATTAAATAATCTTTTTATTGAAGTGTGTGAACCCTTCTGCTCTTCATAATTGGAGGAAATAAAACAATCTATTTATCTATCTATCTACCTTTGATATATATTAAGTACAGTGTATATAATCTGTTTCACACTTCCTTTATGTCTTTATAAACAATATTTATTTATTTATTTATTTATTTATTTATTACTGTTAAATATTAAATATTTTACTTATTTTTCATACAATAATACCTTTTCAATCCAATTATCTAATCAATTATGAGGTAACTGTTGAATAATATAATGTGTGTTATAATGTTTTATGTATATGAGTTTAATATATTATTACATGTTTTGTTTCTGAATTATTTACTAAACAAATATTAACTCTTAGAAATGTCTGTAGATTATCCTTTAATTGAAAAATTATAAATCAAATAATATAAAAGCATTATGTTGATGGCTTATTTACTTAATAGAAAAAAATGGATGAGGGATGAAGTGTCTTACTGATTTTGAGGGGTCTTTACCTAGGAATGAAGTGGCTTCAAAATTTGACGGTTGAAGTATCGGGGGTGGGGGGTGGAAGTGTCTTGCTACCGACCACATTATATTTAGTTTCCAAACTTATAAAAGTTTTAAAGTTTTATGCTCCATTCAATTCTGTGACGGACAACGACGTGATGGACAGACGGACGAAAAGTATATCTATCACACAAAAAAGGAATTTTGGATGGATGCTTTGGTGGCAGCGGATTTCAATTTACAGCGTCTATCAACACAGATCCAATATGGCTGCGCCCATGAAAAAAGTGTTCAAATTTATCGGTATCTTGCTTTATTTATCAAGTTATAAGTTTATTTTGAATAATTTTCGTCCACATTTAATGTTTTTGATTTGTTTTTTTTTTGTATTTCAAAAGAAAATTAAGTCATGTCAATGTGAAGGAATAGTCTAGAATACATGTGTGCGTTAGTCACTACCCCACCCCCGGAGATACTCAACAACCTTCCTACCTCTCCAAAAACCATGTAAACTGCGTTTTTTTTTTCATTTAAAATATGTTTTGATATTAAATATATGCTTTTAATTCAATTTCCGTCATTTCCCACTGTTATACTCGGTTCCTATGATATCAAGGTATTTAAATTTTCTGTGACTGCTAGTAAAAGCAACACGTGGTGGTGCTAATATTTGTGTAACTTGCACACTATATTCATTTTTATTTGCCAATAAATTTAATTTGGGGAATAATGAATGTATTCATGGCAAGAAAATTATTTTATAAAACCTTCATATTTGACAACCATTTCCTTAATGGTTTTTACACAGTCAATTAAAATATGTTATAATCACATATACTGACATATAGTATATTCATATAGTTCTAATTTTATAGCAAGTTAACTGTTGGAAGTTTTTCACAACTTAACTTGAAAGTTTTGACCGATCTATCATTCCATACTTGCAATTTTGGGGATTACCTTGATACCGTAGTAACGCAATCCGGTCAACTCGTCCCCTGGTCAACTCGTCCTCTGGTCAACTCGACACCTTTTTGGTCAACTCGTCCCCTACTTTTGGTCAACTCGTCCTCAAAGAGTCAACTCGTCCCTAATATGGTCAACTCGTCCCCTACTTTCGATCTATTCGTCACTATTATGTTGTAAATCAATGTCTTGAAATAGTTCTTTTATGTAAAATTAATAATGAATTTGATTGATATCGACATTATTATATTAATAAAATAACGTTTTTTTTACGTTAACTTTTAATGTTCTTTATCTAAGCGCACGTGCATAGCTTTGATGTAAAACTACAAAGACAGGTAAGTTTGCAAACATTCAATTAATGTTTAATTAATCGGAGTTTTAATGATAATTAAAACTAAAGTTAGGTCCAACTCTTTGATTTTTACCGCCTCCCTGAATGGATTAAAGACCCAGGCGACAGATTAACAGAAATTAGAAGTACTAAAAACTTTATGTCGGTGCGTATTGATCTCATTATAGAAGGATCGTGTCAATTAAAAATATGATAATTGTTTGTTGTGAAATTGTCAATATAAATGTTGCCCTGATAAATATAATACTTTATACATTAAATGTTATTTCTATTGATTGTCTTCGTGTCGTTTTTTCTGTATGTAATTTAATCAGAATTATGCATATATACTTATTATTAGATAAAAAAAACTCCAATTATTCGCATACAAAAAGCGTCAAAATATGTCCAATTCAGTAATTTTATAATATATTATTTTAACAGTCTATAATAATTTATGAAATATATGAAAAACAAATAATAATAAAATATAGGGGACGAGTTGGGGACGAGTTGACCAGGGGACGAGTTATCCAAGGGACGAGTTGACCAAAAAGGTGTCGAGTTGACCAGAGGACGAGTTGACCAGGGGACGAGTTGACTCTGAATCCGTAGTAACCTCCTCTGAAATTACCAGACATGGCAGACATTGGAAATAGTTTAAAAAATGTCATTTTTATTGGTTCTTTTGAAATAATTTTTTGACAAACAGTTGTGGAAAAGGTTCACTTATAAAATTGAAAAAAAATCTCATTCATTTATAATATTTATGATTAAATATTTTCCGATAAACGTCAAGTACCGTGATATCATAGAACCCCAGGCTAATACAAAATGATACAAAATTGATACATATATTTGGTAAATATAGCTGTGATATATGTACTTCTTCTTCTTCTTCCAATATACTGGCCACCTTCAACTAACTGAAGTTTACTGCCAGGTAAATGCGCAAGACAGAAAGGAGGAGTAAAAATAGTGAGGAATATATACAGTGCAGGTTAAAAACGGACAAGAGTGTGGGTTAGATATAGAGTTGGGACAGATGAGTACGGAATGTCTCAACAATACCGGCTGACGTAGCATCTGGATGTAGGCTGTTCCAGTCGTTGATGGTGCGTGGGAAGAAGGATTGTTGACAGTACTGTGTACGGCAGTAGGGAATCTTGTAGGATAGGTTGTGTGAATTTCTTGTAGATGTGGAGTGGGTACGGGGTCGGGTTGTGCATATATGGCACAAATATCTAGGGTTGTGACCAATCAACGCACCGAACACCTGTGGTCTAGAAGAGAAATTTCTAAAAAAGACCTGTGGTGACACAGGGAAAAGGCATGGTTATATTATTCAAAATTGAAAGATACTTGATGTAGTTGTACATTTTATGCAGGCTCTTTCAAAGATTTGTTTAATGTTTTGTTTAATTTTGATTTGACATGTACTGATAATAAACTGATTGCGTAAAAATTATACTAGATAATTATTATTTTCGTGTCTGTAATTTTCAGATATTGGTGCCAACTTGACAGGTGAGTTATTTAACCCTTTCCCCCATGAGCATATTGTGAAAAATGGCCATTTTCACTGAAAAGCCTCCTCTTACAAGTTCAAACTGCTATGGAACTATGAAAAATGCTTCAATACTAATCAAACTTGGCACAAATGTTGACTGGACCATTGCCTTTGTAACGACATGCTCAGTCTTAAATTTCCTGTTACCATGGCAACGAGGGGACATCTCAAAATTGCCAAAAATCACTTTTTTGCCTCGATTTTTTCCATCAAAATTTACTTCAAAGTGCTGCAACTTTTCAAGGGATTGAGATAGAGTCAAAGGCATTTCAGCGTTGGTTACACGTTACCTTATGATCAACCTGGGGTCATTTCAAGCCTCTCACAAGTCCAAAATTTTCTTGGCGATGAGGGGGACTCCGCCCTCCTTCAAACCCCCCAAACAGAAGGGGGTACATCCCCCTTCTGGCAACCCCCTGATGTATTATTTGGATGGGGACCGTGCCGAAAAAATGGTCACTTTTTTTAACAACATTTCTCAAACGAAAAACAGTGTTTGGGGTCTAAATCGGACATTTTTTCACTGTTTGAGGCCTCAAAAAGGGGGGGGGCAAAAAGCCGTCGAAACACGCTTATATAAGGGAAAAGGTTAACCCAGGGTTTGAATTCCAGCTTCAATGCATATTGTCAAACTGCAAATAAAGTTTGAAAACTACATCACATCTAAATCTTGAATTTGTGATATTTTTATGAAATGATATCACATTGAATGTGTTTTACAAAAGCACGTGATTTCGCACATATGACAAACAAGTTCATGGGCAAAGCAAGCAGAAATTCCAACCCTGTAAATCCAATTTCTTGAGTTAATTTCTTATGTTGAGAATGCCGGAAACAAAAGAGATTAGTCTTTGCACATCAGTATAGTCTTAACAAGACTCACTACAGAGTTTTTTTCTCTACTTTGGGAATGGTGCCGGTACCAGATTGATTGGGAAAATGCGTTATATTGACTCAAATTGGGAATCTTTAATAAGCATCTTTTCAGCTACAAATCAGATTAGTCATAATGAATAAAGACAGCTAACAGCTTTCACTGTCCAGGTAGAACTATTGAGTGGTGATTTATATAAACATGTTTGATTTTAAATGATTTAAGAGAAATCTCATGGCCTTGAACAGTCATTTTGGGAATTTTCACATTAGAAATTGGGAATTTTAATGTCTTTTTTCCATTGGGAACAGTACCTTTTTCAGGTAGTAGTGATATAAAGAAAAAAAACCACTACAATAGATACAATTGCCTGATTAACTTAATAATGTTATAGTTTGTTCATAGTTACTCTGATTATATTATCTAAAAATACAAAAGTTATCAATAAAGAATACATCTTTTAATTACTTTTTAACCAATAAACATCATAAATTTAATATCTTTATCTGTGATATTATGACATTTAAAATTGTCTTTGGGTGTTTGGTGAAATTAGACCAACCCTGATAAATTCATGTATGCACTCAGACAAATTCAATGTTAAAGTACATGTAGTTCTATGATGATTATGAAATGGGAGGCTAAGTACTTATTGTCATATCAATATTAAGACTAAAAGTGTAACATCAATTTTTATACCCCCGCACAACAAAGTTGTAAGGGGGGTATACTGGAATCAGCTTGTCCGTCCGTCCGGCCGTCCGGCCGTCCGGCTGTCCGGCCGTCCGGCCGTCCGTCGGTTTTTTCTTGTCCGCCCAATAACTTAAGATTCCTTTGACCCTTAGTCTTCATATTTGGCATGGAGGTTAGTCATGATTAGTAGATGACCCCTATTGATTTTGAGGTCACTAGGTCAAAGGTCAAGGTCACAGGGGCCTTGAATTCAAAAAGCTTGTCCGCCCAATAACTTAAGATTCCTTTGACCTACAGTCGTCATATTTGGCATGGAGGTTAGTCATGATTAGTAGATGACCCCTATTGATTTTGAGGTCACCAGGTCAAAGGTCAAGGTCACAGGGGCCTTGACTTCAAAAAGCTTGTCCGCCCAATAACTTAAGATTCCTTTGACCTACAGTCGTCATATTTGGCATGGAGGTTAGTCATGATAAGTAGATGACCCCTATTGATTTTGAGGTCACCAGGTCAAAGGTCAAGGTCACAGGGGCCTTGACTTCAAAAAGCTTGTCCCCCCAATAACTTAAGATTCCTTTGACCCACAGTCGTCATATTTGGCATGCAGGTTAGTCATGATAAGTAGATGACCCCTATTGATTTTGAGGTCACCAGGTCAAAGGTCAAGGTCACAGGGGCCTTGACTTCAAAAAGCTTGTCCCCCCAATAACTTAAGATTCCTTTGACCCACAGTCGTCATATTTGGCATGGAGGTTAGTCATGATTAGTAGATGACCCCTATTGATTTTGAGGTCATCAGGTCAAAGGTCAAGGTCACAGGGGCCTTCACTTCAAAAAGCTTGTCCTCCCAATAACTTAAGATTCCTTTGACCTACAGTCTTCATATTTGGCATGGAGGTTAGTCATGATTAGTAGATGACCCCTATTGACTTTGAGGTCAAAGGTCAAGGTCACAGGGACCTTGACTTCAAAAAGCTTGTCCCCCCCTATAACTTAAGATTCCTTTGACCCACAGTCTTCATGTTTGGCATGGAGGTTAGTCATGATTAGTAGATGACCCCTATTGATTTTGAGGTCACCAGGTCAAAGGTCAAGGTCACAGGGACTTTGACTTCAAAAAGTTTGTCTGCCCAATAACTTAAGATTCCTTTGACCCACAGTCTTCATATTTGGCATGGATGTTGATCATTATTAGTAGATGACCCCTTTTGATTTTGAGGTCACTGGATCAAAGGTCAAGGTCATAGGGACTCTGACTTCAAAAAGTTTGTCCACCCATTAACTTAAGATTCCTTTGACCCACAGTCTTCATATTTGGCATGGATGTTGATCATGACTATAAGGTGACCCCTATTGATTTTTAGGTCACTGGGTCAAAGGTCAAGGTCACAGGGACCTTGACAAAAAAAAGCTTTTCTTCTCAATTGCTAAAGAATGTCCTGTCCGCAATGTATTGATTTTGACATTTTCACATTTGAAGCATGTAGAATATATAACTTAGCAATGCACTGGCTTAGTAACCTAAGATTTGGCAGGGAGGTTGTCCTTGAGCTCTAAATGGCCACTGTTGATTCTGACAAAGTGGTATGCGGGGGTATTCACGCCATGATAGTGGCAGTTCTAGTTTGTCCAGGAATGGACCAGCCTAGTCGATTCAAATCCTAATTTCTTACACTCTTAGAATAGACACTGAGCGGCTTTTGTTTCTAAATTCAGATCCAGTATTTCGAGGTATTTACAGAGGAAAGAGACATCATGAAGGTATAGTAGTTGTATGAATTAATTATTAGTTTTATTCTCTAAATATTATACAAGTAGCCTCTTAAGCTATTTTATAAAGATTGCTTAATGCAGGCCACTTTTGTACTTGCCATTTAATTGTTAGAAAGATATGACGAACCTTAAAGAAATGTTTGGAGTTTTTACTAGGTATTCTTTGTGCATGAATAATATTGTTGGAATTAATTTTTTATCTGTATTCTTGAGTTATTATACGAGAAGTTTTTTAGGTCAGTTGTTTTAAATCTTTTTAGTAAGTATTTCTTTGTGTGTGTATTTGAACCCTTTCTAGTCACCAAATTGGAGTATAGTGTAAAGCCTGAGCCTTCTTGATATAATGGAGATTACAAAACTCAAAAATTCTATGCTCTGAAATGTGTGGCATTTTTAAGCTCCTTTTGAAATACATGTTTACATCCATTTAATATGTTTCTTTTTTGTCATTTTAATGAATTATAAAACATTTTATTAATTCTTTCATTATTTAGCCCTTATTTTTTTCAAGTAATACATTGTATCTGAAAGTTGATTTTGATTTTCAGTTCTTTTGTTTCAGATGACTTTGTTGATATGCTTAAACGGGCAAAAGATGTTGGTATGGAAAAAGTATGTAAAGTTTTCATAATTTTTGAAATATCTAATTTGAGATGAGTATATTCTTTTTCATTAATTCAATTTAACCTATAGCTCTTCAGCGCTTCTTATGTAAAATTCTTCCAAGTATAATTTCCAATAACCGTAAATTATACCATACCCAGACTATGGTATAATTTTCAGTTTTTCTGGGCGGAGCAATAGGTTAAAACAGTAGCGTCATGTTATTTTGATTGACAGCTCATTTTACGTCATTTCTGCTATGCAAATTAAGATCGAAGGAGTAAGTGACCTTTCTTATGCAACCTCACTCGACTTCGTCTCGTGAGGTCAAGGCATAAGAAAGGTCACGTGATTATGGTATAATTTACGCAAACCCAGAAATCGTCAACGCAGCAATTTAAATGGCATTGGGAAAAAGAGTATGAGCTATTTTGATGCTAAGGTTATCTAAACATTTAAAGATGTCAAGATTATAAAAATATTAAAAAGTTGTCAAGGTACAAATTAAATAACATTTAAAAATGTCCCGATTATATAATAACAACCTTTTACATCATGAAAATTAAGTTTTATATCAAACTTTGGTGTACAATACAAATGTATTTAAATATTTCAGATTATGGTAACTGCAGGATGTTTAAGAGATGCAGAAGAAGCTACTAAACTAGTGCAAGAACATGGTAAGTCAAGATCTTAAAGGCCCAACTGCACTATAAAAGCCAGCAGATGGCGCTAGGGCAGGTTTCTTATTAATTTTATGCATGCTTCACTTCAGGGACCCTTTTTCAAAGATTTAAGATTAATTACCAAATGCATTTAAACAACACTTGGCATGTATGTAGGCATATATATTCTTGATACAGATTGACCAAAATTATTCAAAATAAAACTTTGTTAAGTGTGTTTCTGGAAAAAAATACTGGCTGTCAAATTTGAAATTTGAATTTCCATGGGAGGAGCCAACTGATCATTACAGGTCATGAACCTTCAGTAGTAAACAGATGCACGTGGCAGTGTTTATTTCAGTGAGAGAGATTTGTAGCAGACGATATATATTTCAGGGAGGGAGATTTTCAGCAGACGACACATTGGAATGCTGAATACATGATAAGAAAAAACAATACCTTTTACTGATCTTACTTTATCAAAAAGTATTTATATCCAACAAATTTACAATAATCCATTAATCTATGATTTTTTTAAATTTCAAAGTACTTATTCAACTTGTATTTAAATGGTTTAAACTTCATGAAAACAGTAAAAGTAACTTCCAGGTATATTTCATTTACACTATATTTTGTTGTAAATATCTTGTAGTCAAATTTACATTTCACAAAAGTTTATCAGACAAAATGTTGCATTCGTATAAAATTTTTATATATTAATAGTTTAAAAATATTTTAAATTCCTGTCAAGATCATTTTTAGCAGGTTTTTTTTTTTAAAGAAATGTCCCATGTAAGGCACATCCTTTGGATTTGGATATAGTTGTCTGACTTGATGCAGGACACAGTCAGGCATAATTTCCCTTACAGTCAGTTCAACATGTGCTGCAAGCATAAGTCTCTCCTTTCTTTCTAAATATACACTATTGCTCCAAAGTCCCCTTCTGTCGAGCATAGTCCAGTATTTTCTATAAAGTTTTTTTCTTATTAAGTTATTTCCTGGTCTTGCTAAGCGACCATCTCCTAACCAGGCCTGAGGACTTGCAGTCACACAGGGGGAACTAAGACAGTGGTGACAAACATCTGTATTACCGGCAGCCAGTTCAGATGATCCATTTTGTTGATCTGTTGACATCAAGTTTGCATTCTCTTCATGAATTTCTTTTTCACAAACATCTGAGTTTACTGACTTAGTCTCAGTGGATGTTCTGCTCAAATTTTGATACTGGGTACTTGTTGCTTCAGTATCGTCATCACTTGATATTTCAATATCCCACCCATGAAAATTGAATATTCCACAAGTATTTCTTTCTGTTCTTCTGTCATATAAATCACATATCTCTTTTTCTTATTATCCTGTGCCATTTTTTAGAATTCAAATTTGTACAAAATATATAAAATCAGATTATAACAGCTTAAAGATTTGCACTATTTCCCTCCAAAACAAGCATCCTATGTGAATTTTAATTCTACATGGCAGGCCATACAATGAACAATTATACTTCATTGTGACAGCATCTTAATTAGGTGTTGGCAGATTAAAATGTTTCCCAGCAGAGTTTACTGTTAAAACAATGTGAAGCTGATATCATTTTCATTTGTGTGAATTCATTAGTAAAGTCAGGTATACAATATAGTGATAAACATGGATGATAACCATAATCAACAAGTTGAAGATCATAATAATGTAATAAAAAGAATACGCTTGGAATTACGTAAGGAGCCAAAAGCCTATCCATCAAATTCTGGTGAAAAAAGACGTGCAAAAAATAAAGAAAATAGACAAAAAAATAGAAAATCAAGAGGCAAATTGGAGTACTATTACAATGATGAGTCAGAAAAAACTGAATTGTTTAACAAAATTGACAAAATAAAATTGTGGAGGACAGTTTGATAAAATATCGACGTTTGAGCTACTCCACAGGCTTTGTGATTTTTTTACTTCTCTGAATTTACCCGTTGAAGATAATGTGACAAATGAAAGTTTAGACTTTGAGCCAGAATATCAATACTGCACCTTGGAAGATGCAAAAACGGAAGACATTTTTATAGGATGTTTATCATCAGTTCAAAAACTTATAACACAAGTACAAGCCCATGATATAAAATGTAAGGAAAGATTAAGTCTTGATAAATCAAACAACAAAAAAATGCATCTGGTAATGACTGCCAATATCAAATGTAAGGAGTCCCATGCCTTGAGCTGGACGTCCTCTCCACACATGGGAAACGGAAAGTTTTTAGCAAGTTACAAATTTTGTCATGGTTATTTTTCCAGCGGCATACTACCTAACCAATTTCAAAAACTGTGTGAAGCTTCAGATATTGCAGATTTTGGGGAAAAATATATTTCTGAAATGATGGAGACTTACAAAGGAGCTGTAGAGAATGAAGTCTTAGAATCTAAAAACAATGCTCTTCAAGATGAAATTGCCATGACCGCTGCACTTTTGCCTGATGATGAAATACTGACAGGAATAAATATTGTTACTGATGCCCGCCATTGTTGGCGCAAGAATGCAAAGTTCACTGATGTTGTCTGTCTTGGTAAAGCAACAAACAAGTGCATTCAAGTTGAGACAGTCACCAAGTCTGATGATCCCAGCTCTCAACGGCATGAACTTGTAGGAGTACGACGCTTATATGATTATCTTGACCAGAAGGACTGCCCAGTAAACATCCATGCACATGACAACAACAACCAAATAACTAAATATGTCAGAGAAGAAAGAAGCCCAACAACGAATGCAAGTGATACTTGGCATATGACCAAGGGCATAGCTAAAGCTGCAAGAAAAATAACAACAGGCTTCAAATCAACACATGGAGTTGTGTGGCATGAGGAACTGTCTGACAAAGCTGCTGCATTAAAAACTCACACATTCCATTCAATGAAAAACTGCCAAAATAATCCCGAAATTCTACGAAAAAACATACTTAACTTTGTTGACCACTACAAGGGCAGTCACGATAATTGTCTACCAACTTCTCGATGCAAAACAGACCCAAATTATGAATGTTCCAAATACACCATCAAAGATGGAAAAGCTGTTTCTATTCTTACAAATTTTTTAAAATCAATGCCAGTATACAAAGATGCAGAAAAATATAGATACTGTATGGACACTCACTACGTAGAATCGTTTAATAATGTATTATTACAGTATGGAGACAAAAGAATATGTTTTGGATTAGATGCCTACAAAATCAGGATTAACTTGGCTGTCCTTGACTGGAATGAAAATGTGAATCGCCCTCAAACATCAGAAAGACAGATTCCATATAAAAGAGATCCTTCAAGAACATACAGCATTCCAGTGAAAAAAAGAAAAACAACTGACTTCAAAAATAATATCTGGACAAGATGGCTTAATAATGTCTTTTAATTAATCTGATTAATCTGTGAGTTGTATAAAACATCCATTAAACCTCTCCTGTGTAAAATCAGCTGTTTTTGTTTACATTCTCTCTGCAGGTTAACACTGCTCTGCAGGTTAACACTGCATGCTATTTTTAGCTCATGGTTTATAACAGACAGTTTTACATCACTGATTAGTCACACCCACAAATACTCGCTGCCGCGGCAGCGAATGTTGCCCCTTTAACCTTTAACCTTGATAACTGAATCTTAACCTTTAACCTTGATAACTGAATCTTAACCTTTAACCTTGATAACTGAATCTTAACCCATGCGACCAAGATTAGCCGGAACATCTGTGCTATCTGATCATGGTCCTTGCTATCCACTAACCAGTCAGTATATATTTTGAAGTTTTCCTTAAACATAGTGAATGGTTGTGTCACATCAAAAGATGGATAAGCCCATTTGAGATATGTAGCATGGTATGATTAATGATCAGTGACGAGCCTTTTTATAATCAGGTTTCTCTTTGCCTGAGAGATCTTGTCAGAATAAAGAGTCAAAATTTTGTATGTTGGTCATTACTTTTTTTAGTTCAATTAAGATTTTTGTCTTAAAACTAAACAGTTTTTGTCATTCAAATGTAGTTGCAATATATTTACACACTACATTGAATACTTTATAATGGTTTGTATTACACTTAATATTTCAAAAACTGAAATTTAACTCATAACTGTCTGGAACCAAAAGTAATTAGCCTTTGCCACCAATATCGAGCCACGCCCCTCTGCACGTCCATACAATGTGACCAGATTCTCTACTGCTGGCTGACCAACTTTAAATCCATCTTGATAACCCCATATTTGATAATAGACAGTGATAACAATGGATGCTAAACAAGTCCATTTAACAAATTCAGTAGGTAATGGATTAACCAATGAGTTATTGTCTTTACTCAGTTATAAGACTGGTAACTTATAAGACTAGTCTAAATTAGACTAATAATGCTGTATCATCGATAAGAATTTTCACGCCATTCATTTTTCAGAGAATTTATATACAACAATAGGGTGTCACCCAACAAGATGTGGAGAGTTTGAGAAGTCAGGTGACCCAGATGGTTACATAAATAAATTACTAGATATAGCTGCACAGAATAAGGAGAAGATTGTAGCAGTAGGAGAATTTGGACTTGGTTTGTAAATTTTTCCAAAATCCAGTTATTACCTATCATCCATGCATAGATCCCTTCATAACCTTTCATTCATTCAATTATTATAATTATCGGATTAGTGGGTTACAATGAGAATTTCTTCACAAGGTATTTGTTAACTAAAGAATACATGTTAATGTTTGTGGTTAACTGACTGTATTGTAATTCAAATCAATGGTCAGAGTAGAAATTTATCAATTGCATTTCAACAAGGGGGCCTTTTGCTAAAAATGAAGGTCTCCCAACTGTGAGTAAATGTAACATATGGGTGGCAAATGTCACATTATGTTCATATAGTTTGTACTTGTAAGCAATCTTAGGAGTTATTTTTAAAGAAATAGAATAAGGGATGTAATTTTGAGTCTTTTTGATAATGCTATTTTTTTGCCATTTAAAACCTTAATAATAAATATTCCATGAAATAGATTCTATTTGTCTCTATGACAGATTATTTTATATTATTTCCAGATTATGACCGGCTGCAATTTTGTCCAAAAGAAACACAGCTGAAGTAAGTGTTTTTAGTTTTATTGAATTTAAAACCTAATATTGAATTCAAGTACACATTTTATATTTAAATATCAAGATAATTTCTAAATATAATACTTTAAAAGTGTACTTGATAATCATTAAAAGTTAATATATAATTAAATTTTGGAAATTGATGGTTTTAGAATTATAGTTGAATAAAGAAGGAACCAAATAAAATTGTATTATGTAGGAAATTTGCCCTTGTGCATAAAAAAATAAATTACGAAATGGAAACCTCAATATTATAATGGGTATATGGTAAAATGAAAAATATTTTAAGAAGTAGATAAAATTTGTCCTATTTTTGCCTTTGCCATTATAACTTTAGAATGAATATGTTCTGCTGTGAGTTTTAGACTGTCATTTATGAATATAAGGGATTTTAATGGCATGAATGTATGAAAAAGGAATCTTACGGAATAATTGGGGTTCTACACAGATTCTTCCTTGTGCCTGAAATTATGCAATGAGGGCACCTTCAAGTTTTCGTCCCACCGGGAAAGCTGGAAAGTTGGTTGGAAACTTAAACTCAGCCAAAGAAAAAAAAAGACCGGCCAGTAGTATATGGTCTGGTTATGTTGCATGGTTATAAGTCTTTTAATATTCCCACTGACACTAAAATGTCTTAATATATCATATTTACTTTTACTGCCTATTAACTCCCTAGTCAATGCTAGCTCATTCCATTGTAAAAATTATAACAAATATAATGTGTATTTTCAGGTATTTTGAAAAACAGTTTGAAATGGTGGAACAATTACAGCTTCCATTATTCCTTCATTCGAGAGCCGCAGGGCATGATTTTGCTGCAATTATAAAACGTCATAGGGACAAAATAAAAGGCGGTGTTGTGAGTTAAAAATAGCCTGTTACCATAGTTATATTTGCTTATTTAATTATCAAATATTTAAATGCATAGTAAATGATACTGATAACTTAATTGATATGTTTGATTGAATTTAATTTAAGGTAATAGAAACAAGGCAGTAGCACATCAAAATACTTTATTTGATGTGTCAAGAGTTGTTTTTAACTGGAAAGGATGAAGTGAATGCTCATGTCATTTGTAACCTACAGTTCCCTACCTTAGTATAATTAGGGGAACAGGGGATGGTGGTCATGAGTTTTTACCTTCCATCTTTCCCCACACAGTCTGTGCATCGTGTTTGTTTAGAATTCACATCAGAATAGCAGGGTATGTTGAGCAACAGGCAGTGCAGGTGCAGTCACCATCTGACTGTACCTTTAGGGTGAAGTCTTTACTTGGGGTGTGGTTATCCAAAAGTGAAAGCATGTCTACTCTTAGATTAGGGGACAGGAGAAACTATTGTCAGATGCTTGATGGTTTGTCATATGTGACAATAATCTATGCATCCAACAAGAATGATCCAACAATGAGTGAATGATAATGACTAGTCCATTTGATTAATGGCTCTAAACTAATGAAATTCAGATTACCATACAGATACCAAATTTGACTTTACAGTTAGCAATTTACAACAAATATATTCACTCTGACATTTTATTCAGGTGTGGTTGAGTTATACACTTATCTTATTTATTACAGGTGCATTCATTTACAGGGACAAAGGAGGAAGCTGCTGAGATTCTAGACCAGGGACTATTTATTGGAATTAATGGATGGTAATATCCTATTTCAAAATTTCAAAACTTGTTGGTAACTACTATGTAGAATTTCCTTTTGGCATATGCTAGTTGGGTAATGGAACAACATTTAATGAATGCTTAGTTCTTGCATTTTGACTACTAGTATTTATGAATGAACCTCCATTTCATTAGTTATTTATTTATTTTTATAAGGAAAGAATATAGTTATAGCTTCACTTTTGGAAGAATATTGAGACTATTCTACTCACCCTTGTGTCAGCATTAGACTTAGCAATAGACTTTGTAAAGATTTTGCTTGCAACTTCTTATTTTAATAAACTCTGGAGGTATTAGCTTCAACTTCAAATGTGTCTTGACAATAATATTTGTTAATCTCTGACTATCCAAGAACTGTGTCTTTTGTATAGAGTCCCATTTTGTTGGGCCTTTGTGACCTGAAATCTTTAACCCCTTTCTTAAGGTGGGCTTTATTCCCTTCATGGACTTTGGACCAGCTGGCTTAGTGAAAATTGGTGGTTTTACTTAGGTGCCTGCTCAAGCCTGAAATAATGCATGAAAGGCACTAGAGATCATACACTTAGTGTAGTGTCTATGCCAATTTGATTTTAATAAAATCAAATTTAAATTTAAATCTTTCACAGATTATTTTATATCATTTCCAGATTATGAATGAATTATAAATGTTTCTAATTTTTTTATAAATAAACATATTTAAGTTAGCTTGATTGTGATGAAAACTTGAAGCAAATTTAAACCATTCTTTAGTATGCAACCTTGAAGTAACCATTGCTGGTGTCATACTAGAAAACATTGCCAGAATCCAATTACTAGTATTCCAAGCTATTTATAGCATTTTAAATTTGTGGAAAATATATAATAACATAAGATTTGTAAAACTATATACACTTTAATTTTTTTTCAAGCGTTTGATGGATCATAGAATATAGCTACTTAAAATCTATTATTTTTCAGTTCTTTGAAGACTCAGGACAATATAGATGTCATGTGTACAGTCCCAAGTGATAGAATAATGTTGGAAACAGGTATGGTAATAGGTTTACATAGCATACCTACATAGTTGATTTGTTTTTGGCAAGATTTTGAATAACTTTAGAAGGAGGGATTTTTAAATAGTTGAACACAAGTGTTCCACATACAAAATCATATCTTGAAGGTCAAGGTAAAATTTAGCAGACAAGTGTCAAATTTTTTTAAGTACACTGCTGCAAGTCTTGACTGCATTTTTGCCATGACTTGAAGGATTCACATTTTTTTTAATTTCAACAAAACAAAAGCCAACTTATTCAAATGATTTAAGTCAATAAAGAAGAGTTTAGCAGACACACAATTGGGTGGTGTATTTATAATTACAGATGCTCCATGGTGTGATATTCGAAATACACATGCTAGCTCAAAGTTTGTACAGACACAATTCCCTACAAAAAAGAAAGAAAAAATGGAGAAAGGCTTTATGGTGAAAAGTCGAAATGAACCCGCAACTATTATGTAAGTTTTCATATTACTTTTAGGCATGTAAAGGTACACTCATTATCACTCTTGAAACTGTTTTTTTATGATTTTTTAGGACAAGTATAACGATATTTAAGTTAGTTTTATAATGTTGACCATTTACCTAACATGTGTCCACATTAAGTTAAAGTAGTGAACTTAGTCATTTATATTTTTTGTTTAAAGGAGACAAATTTGAAACAAATTTAATGTAAGTAAACTTTGTATTTTTTGTATAAATTGGGTCAAAGATGTTTAAGCTGGAAGTTTGTAAGACTGCGCATTATGAAATATTCAAAATATGTTGATTATACAGAATTTTAGTATAACTTATATTGAATAATGACATAAAAGAAAAGAAAACTAATAAGAAAATGTCTGCTGCTTTTGTAAAGGGAGGTAATATTATTGTGAAAATTAGAAACTATCTATATACATTTATGCACTAACATTTATATCTTTGTTGCTATGGTGACATATTCAGCAAGAATATATCTGTATATTTTCAGTCAAGTTCTAGAAGTACTCGCAGCAGCAAGGAAAGAAGATATCTCAGACCTCTCAAATATTGTTTTTGAAAATACAGAAAAAATGTTCTTTGGAAAAGAATCTTAACATTTGTCTTAAAAAGAGATGGATATGCAATATTTAAGTTTCAGTCATTTGGGAACCTGCTTTTTCTTGATAAAGAATCTGTGAAGAGAATATTGTGATATATATTTTTGGCAAGTTGTTGAAGCCAATTTCTGGCATTTAGAAATGAAAGAAAAATATCAAAATTCATGTTAAAATGTTTCATTACATTTCAAAAGATATTGTGACCAAGACATCTATACATTTACAAGTTATTTATTACAAGTTTAAAATTATACATTTTAAACATCTTTTTACATAATTGTTATAGTCCTCACAACCTAAAACATTTTATTTTATTTTATTATTTTCCATCTTTAGGGAATATTGTCCTTTTCGTTTTTTGTTTGTCTTGCTTTATTTTGTAACTTAACAAACTTGGCATACCTCTTTGCCTTTTTCGTTCTTTTAGTTCTTAGATAGAAAAGTTAAAACTGCTTCAATTCAATATCCTTTTGTTTCTTTAAGCAAGTTTGGTATGTTGCATAAGGATTTATTTAGTAATTTGTCATGTGTCCAGACCGGTCATTGGTGTGCTTTATACACATCTCGTCTTTAGTTCACTATGGCCACAGCCTCATAGTTTTACACAGTAAGTTTGTTCTGTCTTTCTCATTAATGTCATCCATTATTTTAAAAGATAAAGTCACTGCGAGGACCATATGTTGCATACCATATCTCTGTGAAAGTTTTAAGGTTGAAGACTTTCTGCCAGAAATCAGTATCAATTCTGTCCTTGTCAAGCCCTTGGTTGATATCCTTAACTTGCTGGTCAACACAATTTTTACCTATCTCAGCATGTTGTCCTCTTTCTTTATCTATGGAATGTTGTTGCATGTTTGAGCCAAATTCTTCAGTGCAGCATTAGTCCGGCTCTTGTTTGCTTATTCTTGGTCAAGAGCAGAGATCCTCCTTCAAGTGGCATTTTCAGCTTTCCCTTAGCAGCCGTAGTGTAGCCAGTTCTAATGTAAATGTGCTGCCGGGTGATTGAATGCCTGCAAGTCTTGTCCAGATGGGCCTTTTTTAAAGTGAAATTATGCTCATCTAATGTTTGAGAGTTCAGGTAAAAGTCAAAATGAGTTTACATTTCCAATACTTGCTTCCAGTTTCAAAAAACTTTTAATGAATATTCAATAACCCACATGTTGCAAGGAAAAATTTCTATAAATATCCTTCAGAGTATATTGCTCAGTTGATAAAAAAAAAGAGTATTTGGAAGCAGTTTTTCAATTCTTATCCTAAACATATTCTAATTATCAATCCATTAAAATGGTCAAGCTTTGAAATAAATATCTAATTCAAGTCAACTTGACACAACAAACAAATGAGCATAATGTCACTTTAAGTCTACACATGCAAATTTTCCAAGACCTAAATCTTTATCAGATTTTAACAATGTAATCGTTTTGGTTTCTTGTATGAACTTTTTCTTACTAATAATTTCCAATGCTTTATGGTCATTTTCAACAATAACCTTTCTTCCATATGTTAATTGATGAAATTTGGTCATTCTGTATAGGATACTTAATAGTTCCTTTTCTATCATTGCATAATTCCTTTCTGCATTTGTTTAACTACGGCTTGCATATGCTACAGGCTGTCCTTTTTGTAACAATACACATGCAAGACCGGCTTCTGAGGAATCCGTTTGAAGAGTAACTTCAGACTCTGGGTAAAAATATCATAGTACAGGAGCATCGCACACTGCCAGTTTTAGCGTGTCAAACGCTTCATCATGGACTTCTAGAGTGTTGTTGCATCAATTCTTTAGGGATTCTTATTTCTCTCTATTTATTCTGTCCTCTGAAATACTGCATTTATGCGTCAATTGTCTTTAACGGCTCACATAGTTGACTTAGTTTATCTAAGAACTTCGTTAAGTAATTAACGAGGCCTAAAAAACATTGTACAGCTTTCTTGTCTGTGGGTCTTGGCATGTTCATAATTGCGTCTACTTTAGACGGGTCAGGTTTCACCCCTGTGTCTGTCAGCAAATGTCCTACAAACGACATCTCGGTTTTGTGCAACTGAAATTTTTCTTTATTTAGCTTAATATTTTTCTCTAGTAGTTTTACTACGTTCTTGTCATGATTGTGCAATGCTTCTTCGTAAGTTTTACCCTTTCCATAAATGATTATGCCGTCTGCGATCGCTTTTATACCTGGTAGCCATACCAAATGGCATAACAAGCCAGCGATATCGTCGCATTTTGAAAATACTTTTGCAGAATAAGTTCAGACAACACATCTTCAACTACTGGTAGCAGAAAGTGACTTCTTTTCAAGGCAGTGTTCAAAAATTCTGTCATTCTGTCATTTTTGTCTGTGAATTTGCAATCTGTGGCTTTATTTCTTAGCCTCATCACAAAAATGTCAATTGAGTCACTTCTTTGTACCTTGTTCATGAACTGTTATCTAGCAAATATCTGATTTAGTTTTGGTTGCATGTGATCTTTGAACTTTCCATAATAAGTGTTGAGCTTCTATGTCTAAGTGACCCACAGATCTTAATTACAATAAAAATCTGTGAGTCACCATAGCAATAAATATGACATATTTTTCTTCCTCTGATTAAGATTTTAGTGGTCCAGAAAATATAAGTTCAACATTTAATTTAAATTTTTGCCACTGTTCAAATAAATTTGAGCTTTGCCAGTTCATAACTGTAAGATTCATTGTGTTTTTTTTTCCATTTAAAGCAATGATAACTATATTAAATATAACAGTATAATATTAAACATTTTATCCAATATCTAAAAAATTCAGCAATATTTCTTACACCATGTAATATTATGTGGTTTTTGTGTCGCCTCTACGGAGTAGTGACGGAGTAGTGGCGACATATAGGGATCACTTCTCCGTCGTCTGTCTGTCCGTCTGTCTGTCTGTCTGTCTGTCCGTCCGTCTGTCCGTCCGTCCGTCACAAAACTTGTCCGGACTACTCTTCATAAACTACTAGTGCAATTTCATCCAAACTTTACAGGAATGATCAGTACCAAGTCTAGTTGTGCATATTGTCAGCATTTTCAGGTTCAATGATTTTTGTCAGAGTTATGGCCCTTTAATAATTTTTAATTTTAAAGTTTGTCCGGACTACTTCTCTTATACCACTAATGCAATTTCAATGAAACTTTACAGGATTGATCTGTAGCTCAAGTCCTTGCGCATATTGCACGGGTTTTTCCGGTTGAATGATTTTTGCCGAGTTATGGCCCTTTGATAAAAAGGTTTCTTTTTCTGTGTGTTTGCAGATACACAAAAGCTTGTCCGGACTACTCCTCATAAACTACTGGTGCAATTTCATCCAAAACTTTACAGGAATGATCAGTACCAAGTCTAGTTGTGCAATATTGTCAGCATTTTTCCTGTTCAATGATTTTTGTCAGAGTTATGGCCCTTTAATAATTTTTTATTTTTAAAGTTTGTCCGGACTACTTCTCTTATACCACTCATGCAATTTCAATGAAAACTTTACAGGATTGATCTGTAGCTCAAGTCCTTTGCGCATAATTGCACGGGTTTTCCGGTTGAATGATTTTTGGCCGAGTTATGGCCCTTTGATAAAAAGGTTTCTTTTTTTCTGTGTGTTGCAGATACACAAAGCTTGTCCGGGACTACTCCTCATAACTACTGGTGCAATTTCATCCAAACTTTACAGGAATGATCAGTACCAAGTCTAGTTGTGCATATTGTCAGCATTTTCCTGTTCAATGATTTTTGTCAGAGTTATGGCCCTTTAATAATTTTTATTTTTAAAGTTTGTCCGGACTACTTCTCTTATACCACTCGTGCAATGAAACTTTACAGGATTGATCTGTAGCTCAAGTCCTTGCGCATATTGCACGGGTTTTCCGGTTAAATGATTTTTGGCCGAGTTATGGCCCTTTGATAAAAAGGTGTTTTTTTTCTGTGTGTTGCCAGATACGCAAAAGCTTGTCCGGACTACTCCTCATAAGCTACTGGTGCAATTTTATCCAAACTTTACAGAAATGATCAGTACCAAGTCTAGTTGTGCACTGTCCGTCTGTCTGTCCGTCTGTCACAAAATTTGTCCCAACATGAAATTGGCCATCATGAGGCGACACATGTGATTACTGATCGCTCTTGTGTTTATGAGTATAGCAAAAATAGACAACATATAACACTAATGGGAAAAAAGAGACACAAGTGTGTTTTATAACTACAATTATAATACTGGAGGTAAACTTTTAGCAAGAACTGTTGTACCACTTTTAAAGAATGCAGGTGTATACATTAAATCAGTTTCATATTACAATATGTATATAACTTTGGTGCTAAACTTTTAAAAAGATGCTTAACATTCCACTATGTAATTTTAAATAGAAAAAACTACTTTGGGTTAAAAAAATATTTTATCTTGTACCCACCTTCCCTTACAGCATGGGTAGCAGGAGGGGAAACAGCTGGCCCTTGGTAATCAAATTGTTATGTTAATGAAATAATATAGTCCTAAAGTGTTAAACCCTAAATCTTAAATAAGGACTATCACAATAAATGATTTAATTTTCATTATTCATGAATTATAATTTTCAAAAATTATTCCTTATTCTCAGAAGCTAGATGCATAGATATGTTGTATGTTTTGTTTTTGGGTGACACAAGTATATTATTTATAATCAATATAACATATTAAATGAGATGTTCAGATTTTACTACAGTATTATATAACCAGGAAAGGGTAAGAAGAACTTGTCTAGGTATGTCCCGCAATTGCCACAGGTTTTAGATTTCGGTTTTGTTTCGATCTTGGCAGTGCTGTGTTCTGGGTTTGCACGACCATGCCCTCATCCATGTTTTACGTAAAAAACATCTTGTTTGGGTTTCTAATCATTTCCTCTTTTGTCCCATCTTGGTATCTGCATTTGCTTCATGACAAATTGTTCCATGTTTTCATCACCCTTTAAACGCGCGATCTGGGGCTGGCGATGTTTTGTGACTTACCGTATCAATGAAATAGTTAT